GCGACATCTCATTTTGCAGTGTCAGAGAAATGATTGATGTAGATATAAGTGAGAAAGACAATATATTACTAAGGGAACTAATCAGACATAAGAATTTGATTATCAAAACACACAGCAAACCATTAAAAGTTTGCTTGACCAAGTATCAACTTTATCAAAGATATTGGAACAGACATCGCCATCTGTTGCCGACATTAACAGGCAACCAATTGTATCGTCATGTTATCAATACGGAAAACACAAGACATCTACCAACAAGTACAGTGATGTTTATAAAGAAACCATCCAGTTCATCAATTCAAAAGCCAGTCACATCGAACGCAGCCAATAATACTGGCAACGCTGTAACGAGGCAGCAAGTGGCACTTGCAGTCGAGCAGGCGCTGTCGTTAAATGGTGCTGCAGTACCAGTAGAAACGTCCGCGTCCACTTTGTCCCCTTCAACTCAACAGTCTGGCGACGGCGGTCATGGAGTTACAAGCGAGAGTTCGTGGCATAGTTGATCGACAACGCAGAAGACGCAATCTAATAATTGGGAATGGGTCCGACAGCTGTCCCGTTAAGGGCGTTGAAAGAAAAGTTGCGTTGCATGTCAGCCGAATTCATCCGAAAACGAAATTATGTGAGATGGAGTCAATGGTTAAGGCTAATTTCCCTGAGGCTATTGTTGAATGTATTACTTCAAATATCCGGATATTTATTCGTCATTTAAAGTAACTATATCAGAAAGTAACTTTAAAACTGCATTAAACGTATCAATATGGCTGAAAAATACGTGTATAAATCGTTTTTTACAGAAAAGAAGAGTTTTACCGACATCGACATAGCCTTCCAGCCTAATCTAATACTGCTTAATGTTCAATGCTTAAATATTGACAAAGTCAATCACCTACATGGTATGGTATCTGACTATGCAAGAGTGAAGTTCTTCTGCCTAACTGAAACTTGGGCTACAGCTGAATCACTTAATAATTTTGTTATTGAGAATTTTCAGTTAGTTAGCTCATATTTTAGATCGTCGTACAAAGGCGGTGGCCTAGCGATTTATTGTAGAGATGATGTTGTTGCAAAACCTATTGACGTATCTCAGTTTTCACTGGATAAGAATATTGAGTTGTGTGCCATTCAATTCTCAAATGGTGGTATACGTAGCATCATCATGTTGTGCTATAGATCTCCCTCGGTAGATATGAAAATATTCCATGACAATCTGAATAGGGCTCTAAATTTTGTTTTTAGGCCAAATATAAATATAATTCTCTATGGCGACTTCAATGTAGATTCTTATAATCATAACGACGATAATGAGGCACTTGTGAATGCACTGTCTGAGTTTGGCTTGCATCCACAGGTAGGTTGGCCAACAAGGATTGGGCGCACGTCTATCACAACGATAGACCAAGTTTTCACCAACTTCAATGATAAATGTTTGAATTGCGTTGTTGATAATGTAATATCTGACCATAGAACAGTACTTATAGAAATTATGGAATGTCCTTAAGCTGAGGATGCGGTAAAAGAAACAGTTAAAAGGGTTTTTGATACCCGGTCTGTTCAAAACTCCGTTTTAGACTTAAGTAAGGAAAACTGGTCACCACTGTATAGTTACCGGGATATAAATAATGCATTTGAGTACTTCTTTCAAGTATTTGACTATCACTTCCAAATACATTTTCCACTGCGTAAATGTCTGATTAAAAACAACAGCAAGAAATGGGTCGATGAAAATGTAAAGTTGTCGAGTTCATGCTTGCGTGAACAGCATATGTTGTCAACAATTATCCCCGAGTACAGACAACATTATCTAGATGCAAAAAAATAACATCAGAAGCTTGTCAGAAAAACAAAAACGGCATATTATCAACAAAAAATATCCAATTCGCACAACGTGATGAAGGCTGCCTGGAATGTGGTTTCTGACATAAACGGAAGAAATAGAGTATCAAAGAACATTGTACTGCTTGATAATGGATTAACCATTAGAAATCCACAAGAAATTTCTAATTATTTTAACTACTATTTTAAACAGGCTCCTTTGGATATTATTCAACAAATATCTAAGGATACAAATCCAGTTCCAAGTGATCATACCTGCGACCAAAAATCTTTTATGTTTGTATACCCGTTCTTGGAGGAAGAATTCTATAAACTAATTAATGATAAGTTAAAAAAACAAGCGTTCTTCAGGCACCGATGAAGTTCCGAATTTCTTAGTCAAGAAAATATTATTGTACATAACCAAACCTTTTGTTTTTCTAGTTAATTTATCATTCTGCACTGGTGTATTTCCAAACAACCTGAAAACAGGAAAAGTAACTCCAATTCTTAAGAAAGGGGATACTTCTTTGGTTAGCAATTACAGACCGGTGACTGTTCCATGCTGTTTTTCCAAGATTCTTGAGTATTGTTTTTTAGATCGACTTCTGCGGTTCTTGGAAAGCAATGACACTCTATCATCCAATCAACATGGTTTCCGTATTGGAAAATCAACCATGACCGCATGTCATTCATTTATCAACAGGTTAGTCTACTGTATTGAGGCAGGAGAATGCCCGGTTGGGATATTTTGTGACCTCAGTAGGGCGTTCGACTGTGTCAGTCATGACATACTATTAGCCAAACTAACAGACTATGGAACTGGTGGTTCAGCCTACCTGTGGATAAAATCGTACTTGCAGAATAGGTCACAATTCGTGGCAATAACACACAACGACGCTGGTCAACTGAAGCAGGTCAAATCGGGTATGGTTAACATAAATATAGGCGTACCGCAAGGATCTATATTGGGGCCAGTGCTGTTTTCCCTTTATATAAATAACCTGGAGCAATGTTTCCCTGAAGCACATTTCACGTTGTATGCAGACGATGCCTCCATCATTATATCAAATAAAGACGAGGCTGATTTAATAAATAAATGTAACACCTTAGTGTACAACATCAATAGCTGGTTTGAAGAAAATCAGTTACTTCTTAATAGCGAGAAGACCACAGTTATAAGGTTCCATAACATTCAAAAGTCGATACCAGCGATTCAGCTTGTTCTGAACGGTTCAGCACTGCAGAGTGATAAAAGCACTAAGTTTTTAGGGCTTCACTTAGACCAATGTCTCAACTTTAAAGGACATTGCGATTATCTATCATCAAAAATAAATTCACAAGCATATTTATTCAAGAACTTGAGATCTGTTTTCACAGAGAATCAGCTATTGATGTTGTATCATGGTCAGGTTGAGTCTCGCATGCTGTATGCTTTGTCCTTCTGGGGTTCATCGGTGAACGCTTCTAAAGTGTTCCTAAGTCAAAAACGGCTGGTGAGGTGTATGGTGGGAGTAAGCAGCACTTATAGTTGCAGAGAATTATTCAAGAGATTAAAAATAATGACAATGCCTTCGCTTTTTCTCTACAATATGGCTATCTATACTTTTTTAAACAAAGATGATTTCACCTTGAATAGTCATATACATCAAATGGGCACTCGCAGACAAAACGACATCCATATACCTATTGCGCGTTATAAGTTAGGCAGCAGATCACCATGTATTTTAGGTCCTAAAATTTTTAACAACCTGCCTGACTCCATAAAAAGGATCACCTCAATAGGCCAATTAGCGACTTTGTCAGTTTTTAAATATCGTTTTTTATCACTAATTTTAACTTGTTTGTTGTTGGATGTTATTTGTTTTTTTTCTTTATTTATTTATTTACTTTGTACATATTTACTTATTGTATCTTTTTGACGAAACCTATACATGTTCATGCATGTCTAATGGAAAATAAATTCATTATTATTATTATTATTATTATGCTATATGATAAGATTCTTTTTACGTGTTATGACGATTGTAAACAATTTATTGTATTAGCATGAATGAAATAAATGGAATGGAACTCACCTGAGCAGGTAACGCCATAGGCAACATTGTCGTCGGGTACCCTGTCGTACTCGTCAACGGTGGTGGCTGCGATTGAGGCTGCGACCTGGAACTGTTCACCGGAACTGGCCCTCTACCGGACAAAATCGAGTTAGTGTCTATGATCACCAGGGTAGGTTTATTCTTCTCGGCAGTAACATTGTTCGATTTTGAAGCAATCTCCACCAATCGTTTCGTGTCCTTCACCACTATCGTCGATGCTTTGGTGCTGGTCGGATGTCGACTTTTGTCTACAGGTATCTGAGAAAAAAGTAGTCATAAAATAGAGTACATGTTAATTTTGAGTGTAATTAGTGATAACTGAGATATGATGATTTCAAATTTTTGAACCAGCTCTTTTTTGACTTTGCCATAATGTGACCAGAAAGTTAAAAATCGACGAAATGCGAGATGTTAGAGATTATTCAAAGATATTCCCCCTCTAAAGAATTTTTTGAATGCACTCAAAAATTCTCGGAAATTCTAAAAACTAAGTTTGGAGACAATATTTTCATTCATAACTACGAAGTCATTGGATCGAGTTTCAAAACCTACAAAGTACTTTTATTCTTGGGATGGTAATAAACATGAGTTAAGACTTCATCGAATTACAAGCAGTATAGTAAGTTGTAGTCACCGTTCTTGGCGGTTACATCAACGCCATATGAAATAAGTAGACAGATCGAGTCTCCGTACCATGGGCGGAGCGCTGCGCAGACTAATCTTCAGCGCATCTGCTACTCTCTCCAGTACGCATGCAGTGGGGGGTAACATGCTAACAGGAGACCCCTGTTTTCATTCTCTTCCTGGAAATACTCTAATAAATTTAGTACGAGCTCCATTGATCCTATTTCCGGCCATTGTACAATTTTATATTGAAGATTGATAACAGGACAACTCGAATTGCACGCCGATGTCAAGTAAGTTGCCACTCTGACAAATATGATTGAAGTGCACTCATATGTAATGAAAAAGTTCTCGAGACGGAGACACACAACTGAAAAACGTATGTCTTTGGGCTTACCGAACAAACGTTCACACACAGTGGTAGGTTGCATGTGTATGTATGAGGGAGATGGAGATATATAAAGGGAGACTGGTAGTCTTACTTTGACCCGTCAAGAACTGTGACCACAACTATACCTTTCGAGTTACAAATATAATATTATGATTTCGAAATTTTTCGCAATTGCAATACCATATAATAGCCGTGGGTCACAATTCGTAGAAATGTCTATAAAATTTACGTGGACTTTTATAAGAAACTCTGCATTTTCTCATCACGTTAATTTTCATAAAAAACAAATTCATAATGTCCATAAACCTGATCAAAATCAACCTGAAGGACAATAAAATATTGCTGTAATGTTGTACGTCTACCCCCAGTTTTGAAGTCTTTAACCATCATATTCATGTTTCCTGACACTATTTTATTTTAGCTATGTATCTAAATATATAAATGCCTCGGAACTGAACGTAGCGAAATTTGGAATCTTTAAAAAGTCACTACTTAAACGGAAGGTAAACCTCTCTATTTGGTTTGTCGAAATATACATCTGATTAATCTACACTTTCCGTTAGATTTTCTTGCTGCTAAACTGTTATGTGCCCAATTGCGTAAAATTTTATCTGTCGCGCTAGGTGTCACATTCACATTTAGGTAGGTGACATGCTAGAGGATCATTTGAGCATTTTACTTGAAACGTTTGGGTAAGAGGATGTTTTATAATTCCGTTTCTACTCTTCTTTTACTTCCTACTCCACTGCGCGAGAAACTATTGTAATCGCGATACATTTTGAAAATATGATTTTTGAATGTTATATGTCATGTACAGAGTGCACAAACCAATTTTATCCTGAAAAACAAAGTTGGAATCATTTTAAAATGAACATCAAAATACTCTTCAAGGTGCATCCTGGGTGGTAGACGCTGTCTGACTCGAACGCGGAGGTACCACCCGGCGGATCTCTAAGGCGGGGCCAGAATGTGTGCATGTTACATGCTCACGTGTTTCTTCGCCAAAGTCCGTTTGACGTCCCTCCTTTTCCCCTATAGCCCCACGGTACCCATGAGTGTTTAGGCCTTCAGGGTGGTTAAAGTATACAAAATGCTCGTGTAGAGCAAGGTTTAAACTTTCATTTAGGGACTTACCGACCTAAAAATTATAATTTTTAACTGAGTTTTTAAGAATCGAATATACCCGTACGATAACCCAGATCAAATTTGTCTTGAACAATTTGTTTAAATTAATAACAATCTTGTTGCCAGGACAGATTTTTTCGTTTTTTTTTATCATTTGGAACAAAAAACGATTCCAATAACGTTTCCCTAAAGCTGGCCATTTTCGAGTTATACATAAGTGATATAATGTCAGAATAACTCTAAAAATGGGCATATTCAGTACTTGAAAACTATTTTTAAAATTATAATTTTTGAGGGCGTCGATTACCTAAATTGAAGAGTATTTATTTTAAAGCAATTTTTTAGCTTGTCTGCTAGGCTAAATTGCGAACTTTTGATTTTCGAAGACTGTACATCACGAAAAGCCACGTCACTAATCCTTGGGAGGTACTACTCGGATTTGGGTGAAATTTTCACTACTATACCAAGGATGAAAAAGCACTGTAGTTTTTGAAAATCGGTCCAGTAGCAGCGGGGCTAGGGGTCAAAAACATGAAAAAAATAAAGATTGCTGAAACTTGTTTTTGACTTTTCAGAGGCTTCTGATCATTTTCAGAAAAAAATTTGTAAGGCTTGGAATTCAAGGGTTGCGGGTTGTGAGGGGTGGGTATATAACTCGCTGCAGCGGTGTCGCGTGGATGTGGAAAGGAACAGCGTCGCCAGTTGGACAGTAACTACCAGCAAGGCAGGGAAAGAATGTCTATGGACTAATTGTATGAGCCTGTTTGACCGATAATATCAAACCGTTAGCTTATGGTAGACACCCCATTTCATGAAATGTCTCACTCACCTTTTCGATTGTAACAGAATCAGCGAGGGGATCTTCAGGCATGACCTCTTCGATGTCCGATTCCTCTGAGATCTGTGGCGAAGGCACCGGAGACGGTTCCTCTTCTTTATCGCTCTCCACGTAACTTTTGTTCTTGTTCAGGTTCCTGGAGCTCCGCCTTGGAGTGATCGCCGGCGCGGACTCTTTCTCCTTTTCTTTCTCGGGGGTGGAAGCCAACTCGACCACTTCGTTTTCGGTACCGTTCTCTTTTGGCGTATCCACGATCATCACATCACCGTCATCCTCGCCTAAAGAAACCAATGATTAGGTACACCTTTGTGACTGACGTTTTGTGATAGGCGGAATGGAAAACTGAACGTACAGGGCGATGCAAAAATACTAGCCCGCTAAAATTCTGGCTTTCTCACACTGACCGACAGCGAGAAATGGCGAGAAGAAATCTTTCAGAATGAAGCGGTAAAATAACCAATAGAAAGTGGGCGTGCTTTTATTGCTTTTTAAAGAACTGTATTCTCTATCCTCATGATGAAATTTCGGTTGCAGCACACAGTGAATTTTCTTCCTGACTTTTTTACTTTTCAGTTTAATCCTTGATTGCATATAGTGTTATGTTTTGGGATTCTTTATGGGCCATATCAGTTTCTATAATTCAAACTCAAACATTTTTGTTTTGTTTTTACAGTGGCCCTGATGCCCACATATTAAAATCCTAATATATACTTTAACCCTCATATATCATGAGAACATTTGTTTTAAGAAGTTGAGTTTTTAACTGCTCCATCTTTACTACCCCTCATTTGACATCTTCACAATGAAACAATCAAACTTATTTAATTGATACTATTACCACAATGCAGATAATATAACCATTGAAACCAGGGGAAGAGGTAGCTTAATCATATAGAGGGCCCATTAAACTGGCAATAAAAGCATATTACACGCTACCACACAATGCTGAAAGTGCACCCAATTTACTCGCTTTTTAAGGAGCAACTGTCAAGTATCTGTTAGGAACATGCGTGTATGATTTCAACTTTGATGTTCAAGTGTTCTTGGGAGAAAAAGGGCTGAAATCTCAACGTCGTCCATCAATCCCACCTTTGAAGATGAAGTTAGCTTTGTGAAGGAACATTTAATGATGTGAAAAACAAGGAACATGTTATTTTACTGAAAACAGATCCAACTGCAAACTTGATAAATGTAAGAATACACTCAAAAACTGCCAGAAAAGGTAATAGCTTCCTTTTGCTTTTTCTACTCTCTCGTTGTCAGGAATTCAAGATTGGTGGCCTGAGAAGCAATTTTCGAAATTGGGGGGAGTGGATCAACTAAAAAAAAGTTTGTGTGGTTCTATTTTTGAGGAACTATTTTCTTTAACATCGATAGAAGAGTTGCTCCCTAGGTTATTTTCAGCAGCAAAAGTGTGGAAGTATCTCTGTCATCCATCAGTCTTATCTTTAAACACGTTATTAAACATAGGAATATTTTACTCAAAATGGATATAAGAGTAACAAAACACTTTCTACTGGTTATTCTATTTCCTCGTTTTAAAGAGATTCCTGGGGATATAGAAAGACATAATGTGGGATCCCAAGGCTGGAGGTGTCGCCATAGTACAGCATCTCCCTGCTATGAGAACCTTGATGTTTTCACATACATACTACACAATTAAAATGACAGATATAGTAGCCAAAACACAAATACCTCCAATATGCATGTTATTGTAATGTATGTCATTTAGATCAATAATTACAAATATAAAGACAAAATCATAAAGAAAAAATTTAGTCTGCACTCCTAAAAGCACCAGATGTTGAATGGGCAGGATCTAGCAACCAGGAAGCAACTCAATATTTTTCATCAAAGAAAAAAAATAAATTAAAGATTGCTCTTACCACATGAATCATTCAGCTCTATGGGATCCTCTTCCATTTTGTTACCATCTTCATCATCATCAGATTCAATCTCGTGGATTTCATCATCTGCATTAACTGACTCTATTTTATGATTGCTATCTTCTGCATCATGCTTACTGCTAACTTCATCTAACTTATTACTATCTTCATCTATCCTGTAACAAATATTACATATTACATATAGATGTGTAACTCAACATAGAAGTAACTCTGTATTGATTGAAAGTACTGTTTAACATATTCTCAGATAAAAGTCACCCTAATATTACAAGGTTGTATGTAACATTTTTAACTTTTTCGGCTTTTCGGTATTATGAAGTTCTATGGGACAATTACTATATGTTAAACTTGGAATGAAACCTCTAGCTAACATAGAACCTTAGTTATCAACAGAAAATCAAGGCTGCATGTTGGAAAATATATCTTTTGTGTATACCGTAGGTGTATGTTAAACATAGCACTTTGTAATAAATAAATTAAAACTCAAGAAAATATTACACTGCATATACAGAAAAATATTTTGTACCATAAATACAGAAACACTCTCATGAGTTATGCCCATGCCACCTAATTCAAACCCACAAAAATGTACAACAAATTACAATGACATGTTCAGTTCCGGAGCACCCTTGCATTCAGGAAGTAGATGCTATACATGCTGCATAGAAAGTTCGTTAAGCAAAGTAGAATATTATTCTCCAGTCTCATTGAAAGTAAACCGACAGGAGCCTTACACAATACTTCAGATGAAGAAAGAGGACTTCATAGACTTTCAGTATTATTCAAATCAATTAAACACAATGTGGTCCCATTTTCGAAAGACGTATTTTTACAATTTTCAACAAGCTTTTTGGAGCTGAAATATAAAGATAATTTTAAGATGGAAGAGGATTCTAAAACATTTGAAATCGTAAGTCTGCACCAGAAAAAACTAAGAAGAACACAACCCGTTATGGCTGAAACTTGGAACTTAAAAAATTTGACAGCAGTGTTGGACTGCCTCAATCAAAAGTGGATGCTATAAATCAATGTAGAAGTGGATTTTTGGAATGGATAGACAATACTACTAGTCTATTTCTAGGAACAAATAAAGTCTAACATGTAGCATCATTTTAAGTTTATGTGACATATATAATATATAATAAATAAATTTTTCTATACTGTTTTATTTTCGGGGAAAAATTACACAAAGTACTAAATTGACCACTATGAACACCGCTTGTAAATTAAAACCATTCATATATATAAATTAAGGCTTAAAACTGAAGCAATTTTTTAAAATCGATTTATCTCAAAATAGGAACAATGCTACATGTGACGTTGTAATATTAGGGTAACGAAAAGGCACATGCTGTTTTTGGTTATTTGTATACAATTTTTACACCCATATTTCCAAGTAGGATCACAGTAATTAAAAAATTAAAATATGAGTATATTGGACATGAATGTGGCATATATTATATGACAGGTTTTGAGCACTGCACAGAAAAACATATTAATCTTACCTATCAGTATTTTTGTCATCTAACCTATCTTCACTATCCTTATTTTCAATACTTCCTTCTTCCTTTTCCTCTTTATCACTCTCATTCTGATCCTTTTCTCTATCACTATCAGAGTGTTCATTTTCTCTATCACTATCCTCACCATCTTGCTCTTTCTCACTATCATCACCCTGGTTTATTTTGGATTTTTCAACCTCGCTACCATCTTGTTCACTGGCTTTTGTATCCTGGCTACTCTCATCTTCATTCAATTCAGATGGGTTTTCTGTTGTGACTGAATTTTCATTTTCCTCTGTTGCATTTTCATTCTCTTCACCAGTGTTTCCATCTTCTTCACCAGTATTTTCATTCTCTTCAGCTGTGCTGTCTTCAGTTGTGCTAGCTGTTTCTTGTGTCTCTTTGGTTTCTGAGGTCTCCAGCTCATCGACTTCCATTGGGTTGGTTACATTGGATTTTTTCATGCTATCCTGACTGTCATGTGTTTCCATATCTACATCATTTGGTAGATCACCATTAGTTACAACAGAACCTGTTGGAAGAAACAATATATATATATATATATATATGTTATGAAAAGTTATTTTGAAGTGTCAAGTAAAAATGTTCTCCTATAAACATATATCCTAAAATTTTCCATTACCAAGACAAAGGGTTCCATATTTTACTCCATTGTTGAGACTGATTAAGGACAAAACATGAATATTGTTCAAATAGGATACAATAATATAGAATATATAACTTTCAATGTCAAACTTTAGTGTTTTTAATCCATTTCAACTGGTTTTTATGACTTTTCCATCTATTATATACTTTTGCCTATTCAACAGTGAAATATATTTATCATTACTGATTTCAGCATACTTTCCAAGTTGCTCATATCAATTTCAGCTAAAATCAATTTTTCTCTAAAAGGGGAGGAGGAGAGAGGCAATTCATTAAAACGTCATAGAAAATTGTCTTCTATTATGTTGTTCCTGTATTTCAACACCCTGCATTTTGGTAAGGAGGAACTTTAGGACTGATGTTTATATGAAGTATTATAGTATATTTCTGGCCTAGAAATAATGTTGTTTTTTAAAATCCTTTGTATAATACAGACATCCTCAAACTTATTTTGCCTACTGCCCACTTTGAGAATCTATTATTATCTAGTGCTCCCCAAAATTACATTGATTTAATATCCCTAGTTCCAAGAACTTACAAAAACGCAAATTAGCCATTGCATATCCCCCAAAGCCTCAATTTCCTCTAGGGCCTACTGACCCCCCATAGGTCCCCAGCACCCACAAGAGGATCTTATCACTCACTTTGAGAATGGAGACAAAGGTATAAACATGAATATTCAGTTCAGAAACTGCAACTCTATTCTTCAAGATAAACTTAGTATCAACATAACACACTTTAAATCGTAACTTTAATAGTGAGAGTATGCATAATGCATTTTTGTTAGTAAGATGTTTGTTATAACTTTTATAGCTTATGTGCCTTTATCTATTGAACACAAGTCTGAGAAGCTGAACATTTTATTCATTTCCATGCTTCCTGCATCAGTCATACCTAATACAATTTAATACAGATTACAGAACTCATGCCTGGCACTGCAACATTGGAATAGTTGACTGTCAGTCACCAGTAATTGACCAGTTGTCAATATGCTAAAACAGATGTTTCATGCTATTGTATTTGAATAATTAGGAATGATTACTTAAAATATGGTATGTATAAGAAATTACATGAAAAGATTTGCTCTATTAGTGTATCAATCACTGTTATCTCACAAAGCTGGGCAGTAGCAATGTAATATGCAAAAATCGACACTTAAACTCATTACATAGTTAAAAAATAACATCATCAACATTAAAGGACTAAAAGTGTATCACTGCATGGTTTCGGACTTCTGCATTAAATGATTTGAGTACTCAAGTGTTAACTTTGGATGGCATATAGAAGGGTAATTATCAAAATTACCTTGACAGTATCAAATCATTACACAGTTCAAAAATGATACTAGTAACATCCATATAATAACTCTATCATTGTTTGGTTTATAACATCTGTATTAAATGATTTGGGTGCTCAAGTGTTTACTCTGGATGAAACATAGGTTGGTATATCAAAATTACCTTCATCTTTTAAATGAACTTCATCCACTTCCCCCATATCTGCTACAGCTGCCATAGCCAATTAATCTGTCAAAAAAATAAATATTATAAACCTGGAAAATGAACAATTTATCAATAGAATATGAAAAATCCCAAATAAGTTCTTAGAAATTAATTTGTATGGTCTCTCAGGTTTCTGCAAGGACTATAACCCAACTTGTTTGTTTCATGCATGAATAATTAATTATTGAAAAAGGGGCATACATGTGTATGAAAGCTAACCTATATTTGAGGCACTACAAGGCCTTGTGAAGTGAAACTTGCTGGACTATATAATAAATAGATAAATTGACAACAATTGGGAAGGCCAAGAAATCATTTCGAAAGGTAAAATTTGTGACCCCACCACTGGTACTATGGAAAAGATAACAAAATCAGTGCTGCCAACGCCGCAATTTATAACAAATTTTATTAACAATTCACATTTCCAATAAATAAAAGAAATGTTAAAATGAGAAAAACTACTAGAAATTAATTAATATTTACCATAAATTGTTTAATTTGTTTTAATTCCCGCCATAGCACATGGGATTCCAGTCGAAAGAAACAGAGAACATCTGTACCACCAATAAACTCTGTGACAATCGTCGTAAATAGCCGAACTGAATACACATAAACCCGGGATATTCAAAACTGACGACACTTAAAGGTATTAAAACAATGTGCTCAGGGGCTTGCAATGGACAAGCTATAAATAATTAGAATTTTTATTATTTTATAATAGTCCGGAGAAACTTAAACACACATTGCTAACCCCTAGCATCACACTAAACTGCCAATATGGCGTCTAACGGTACGTCACGTGACCTACAATAGTGACGTAGCTTTCCATCCCACAGTGTCTTGAAATTTTTTTTCATTACGTAAGCGAAACTCAATTTTACAACAATTGAGAAAATCCAACGATTTCGTAAGCCCTTTTTACACGCAAAAAATTAAACACGGTTCCCATGTCGACAGAAATCAATTAAAATAGTTGACGCCTATCATACTCGGCCCGTTTTACCGCTTTTGGGTCCTAGTTTTTAATAATAAACGACAATACACTTTCTTTTTGTTTATTTCCGTTCTTTTAAGAGGTTTCTAGGAAAGTTCTACGTTCCCAACACTCATTTTTGAACTAATTAAAAGGAAAAACAGTAATTACAAATGCCGCGACTGACCAACATTTTCAAAAATTCAAATTTTACGTGTGCGAAATTACATTTCCAGATAATTGGAATCCCAATATAGATTATCAAGCATCAAACGTAGTTAATTTTCCAATTCATGGCATGAGTAATTTCTTCGGGAAGATCGCCGCACCCGGCAAAAAAGCAGTAGCGCGGCACGAAGCGGACACCCCCCAGAGCGCGGAATGGTTGCGCCCAAACCTCATTTTGTTCATGTATACTCTGAACCTAATAACTTTTTCTCTCTCTCTACGTTCCGTCTCTATCGCTCCGGTTTCCAATAATATAATAGGATCAATTTGAAAAAATCAAGCTTTGCACCCCAACATTTTTGTCACTATAAAATACTTTGATAAGATGATTTTTAAGGTCCTTCGATGATGAGGTCGACCTCCTTGACATCCGCTTAGACTACGGAGATAGGTAATCTCTTTGAGCAGCACTATAATTCCTTTGAAATTTTTTACTGTTTACTTTGTTTAAACGTTTTGCTGTTATGGTTTGGGAATTTAATCAGTTACAGGTTAAATGAAAACGTTTTTTATTCGCGCAAACTTTATTAAGCCAGGTATCTACTCTGATTTGAAATGCAATTTTAGAAAAACCCACATTGCCTATGACTCCGAGCATTTTCTCTTGCTCTGTACACAGTCATGGTCAAAAGTAACTTTTTTAATGCTTCAACAATCGACTTTGAACAGTTTCCATTATCCTATAGTTTGCACTTTCTTGGTGGGAAACTTGATACCAGGTTGGTGTACTCTTACATCCTTAAGTAGGTAAAAGACACAGATTAATTTTTCAGTAACAATGCTAAATTAGATAGTGTATAATACAGAGTGCAGTAGACTGACTCAGTACGTACTTCCCAGTGATGTCTGGGAACGATTATATGATACTTATTATTGTTTTTTTTGCTAACTTAATGACATGACAAAAATTTCTCTTCTTCTTTTTCCCTGAGATCCCCTAATTTCTGAGTTTTCCTGATTAAAAGCTATATTCTTTTTTCGAGAATTAGCTATACCGCACGTTGAAATCCTTTCGAGTTCTCACGAGAAACATATTCTCTAAAAAAGCGCAAATCCGTATTTCTAGATGCAAATGACATGAATCGTCAATTTTCACTAGAAAATCATTGTATTTTATGAAAAATTGAGTAGAATATGAACACGTATTATAGCAATAAAAGAAAAGCCATAGATCCCCCATTCCCGAGTTCAAGATAAGTAATCGAGAAATCGAAATTATTCCCATCAGTGGCCTTAATAGCAGGAAATAACACCACCTTTCTTAATCAACATTACCATTGCTAACGTTTTCTACCTGAAGGTCAACAATTTGGCGTCCAACAAATTATTTGAGATAAAATGAGATGTCTTGGCGTCATCTATGAGAATATGTCACAGCGATGTCTCTCTGCCAGCTCTCTGCTCATCAATAGAAACCTATTTGGAAAAGGTTAGTGTCTTATAGATGGCGCTGCAGCTCGTACAGTTGGCTACAGCGCCGTCTATGAGACACTAATCTTTTCAAAGTTGATGTATAATTATTGCAGAGTGGAGAATCATATATCTGACAATTTTATTTCAGATAATTATTTGGACTATCTTCTGGTAAAGTACCCCAATCAATGGTATTATCTAGTACAGCACCGCTTTTCAAGACCCAAGAATATGTAGAAATGCGTTATTTCCTTCAAAAACATCGAAAGAACTTTGTACTACTGAATATTACTGACGAGAAGTATCATTCGTGTTCCCAGTATGGGATTTTTTATTTTACGAGAGAATATATATCTTTCACGAGAATAATTTCCCCAAGTTTCGAGAATATGATCCAAGGTGCGAACAATAATATTGGTGAAGTCGTCGATCCTATTTTGACAATAAGCTCCAGTAGTATTTTACGGAAGAACTGTGTTCTTTTGAAAATCAGTGATGTAAACTGGCATTTACGTTGAATAATCCAGTTTTTAACCGAACACTTCTTTCATAAAAACGCTATTCTTCTGTTTGGAGAATTGCGACTCTGTTTGGATCCTGTGCCGGTCAAACCTAGGAGCAATTGGTCACATCCCGGAGTTTTCGTTAAAGTTCGAAACCGAAGTATGTACTTTTTGAAATTTGTCCTTTGGTCAGAAAGAGAAATGAACAATCGATCTAGCCAAACTTGAATGTGAAAAAGATTTATCGAATCTTTGATGAGGTAGTTTTATCCGTTATGTAGTCTGTAAGTGGTAAGTCTTTATCTCTGAGAAGATGTGAAAGGAAGAAAGTTGGTGGAGTAGCAATATCGCATCAGTATTAGCTGTGCCCGACGCGACGGTTTATTTATATGTAGTCCTTTCTGTTTTTTTTGTGTTTTCAAAAACTTTGAGGAGCATTACGGGAAATAGCCACCGCGCCCGCGTTGTGTGCAATTAAGCCTAATCACAGAAAAAATAGGAATGACTTATCACACTTCAAAACATTTTCGCAATGTCTCACATCTAGGCGCTGATTTGTATTTTATATTGTCAACTCAAAATAAATTTCTATAAAATTTATATGACTGGGAATAAAAAACTTCACATTTATAAGTATTCCTGTCTGTAGCATATGTTTTTACTTGTTAATTCACCAACCAGGGATTTTCTTTTCACATCTCTATGATTTTTAAAATTCATTAAATTTGCATATGTAATTTACACAATGAATAAGAAAAAGTAGATGCGCAGCTAATTTCTAGCTTTGAATCTCAAGTGTATTTGAGACAAAAAACCAATGAAATTATCATCAACACATAATATTAGCACACAAATCCTCACTATGCACACCTATGCACTGCCGTTTTCTTTCAGCTATAGTATGCAACTTACAGCTATAACCTCTAATGATGACATTGATAACTGATGAAGCAACATGGCGTTTAGGCAACACGTATAACTATACAAAACGAGTTCACAACAAGTGTCCATCAGCTAGTGCTAAGTTACCACCTTGTAGAAAAACCTAAGTTATGTAAAAAAACGATCTAATGTCACTTTTCAAGATTCGTAATAACCGTGCGGGTCGCACTTTGAACAAAACCATCGTTCATTCTGCAATTTTTTAAAAATGTATTTCTATTTCATGATCTACCGTTTTTAATGCAGTACTCTTACTTCTTCCACCACGTTACTACCCTTAAAAACAAACAGGCCGCCGGCTCGGCGCCGCCACTGTTCGATCTATATTTAAGCCTTGTGTGTCTTTCTACCCCCGTTCGGCCCATTGCCTCCTACGTTCCAGAGACGTTGCCCTACTATGCCACGCCAACGCCAAGTCAAGCCAGCAAGCGTAGGAAATTTTCACAAGACCCTGTAGATACCTACACCATGGTACTCCCAGTTATTGATTTTTCGCTCGACGGGAAAATGGAAAATACAGTAAAAACAACTATACTCCGGTAGCCGTAGGATTATACTTCGAAGAAATTCTCACTTTGATGAAGATTTTAAATTATGTTCATATTCTTAGCTGCCATTACAAAAACTCAACTTTTTGAAATCCTATAAAAATAACACAGAAAAACACTCTTGAATAGAACCATTCAAGTATTTTTTTCGGGTTTCAGATGGCTAAGTCTACCTTACAACTTAACCAATACTTTTTGGTGCAAGTAAATATAACGTTCACGATCACGAGATGAAAGTTCATAAGCTGAAAATTTGCGTGCACTATTATTTTGATGTTCTATAAATTAGCTCAAAGTCTGATCCTATGGTACGCAGTCGACTTACGTTATTCAATCTCAAACGTCTCAAAAATTGTTTTTTCAAATATCTTACTCCCTCACCTCTAAATGATCCGATTTTTTTAACTTTTTTTTTACAAAATGCTATATCATAAATAGTACCTACTTAAAAGAATTTCATAGTATTTATTTTCTGCTCAGTTGTAAGCAAGAAAAATATTCGCTAAAATTTCGGAATGGATTTATTTAAAAATAGGGAACGACTGATGATACCGACAGGTATCAATATTGGCCCGATATACCAATACAAATCATAGAGTTCAAATTTATTTAAGAAAAAAAAATTATATAAGAATTTCAGTAATTGTATCAACGCAGCATTTTTTTCAGTTTATGATTGGAAACTTTGTTGAAGCACTTCCACACGGCGCTATTTTCAGGAACTTCAGCATTTTCATAGAGTATTAGTAGTATAAAGTAGGTTTTACTAAAATGCGTTTCAACAACTCTAGTTCTTCAAAGTAGTAGTTTCGAAATGAAGCATTTTCGTTTGATTTGGAAGGGTTTCCATAGCGGTTAAAGAAACATTAAAGCAGAGGCCTTCTCATTCCGTTGATATTCTTTATCAATTTGATATGTATTGTCGATCTCTGATCAACGGGTGGACACAAAACATCGTTTTCTTTTTAGCTATTTCGCAGATACTACTACAAACAAACGTATTTCCGTCGTCATGAGAATGTGTATCACTACTGTCGTACTTGAAGAAGGCCGATCTGCTTTTTTTTTTAATTTCAGTATGTTTATACGCTCCCAATCTCGCACCTATCAGACATATTTCACACATCATAGATTTCTCTGTACATTTGCCCTTAAAACAGACTGATAGAGAAATGATTTCGGTAGCGTCAGTGCTTCTGCTGTTCGTAATCACCATCGAGTGTGGCGATCTTGGTAAGTATTCTGGCCTCACTGCCATACTGCCACGCCTGACGCGTTGTGCGGCTAGGTTTTGGGGAAATGTGACGATGCCAGTTGGGTTATCGGTAGGACAGGGAAAGAATATCTATGGATAATTGTGTGGGCCTGTTTATCTGACTTGGTCCGTTTGATTTGTCTGTTATGCATGTTCTTGGCTAACTTTTTTCTTCGAGGGTCTGACTTGTACTGAACACAATCGTTTATACGGACTGATGGCGTTGCGTAAGAAGTGCAGAGTCAACCTACTTGACACCATTGTTTGAGAACGGTTTCAGGTTTCAGGACAGGAGTTTCTCCAGTGTGCATCATATTATGACCTACATAGTCCTACATTGCGGTTAATGCAATGGCCAACATGTTCAGACCCAATTATATACAGAAAAAGACGAATTGCGGATAGACAAACAACACCGATATATCGGGTTTTGAAATTTCGGTATCGACAAAAAACCTGTATCGGTTGATCTCTACTTGATAACTCTTTCCGACTTTGTTCTCCAATACCTGTTTTCTGGTGGGTTGGGCCAAGCTTATGTATTTATCTCGTTTCTGGAGAAATCACTTTCGAATCCCACTTCCCAAGGGAATAATGTATTTTCAAGATATTTTCAAATTAGCCTTATAATTTACCAATATAACCAAATACAAGGCAAAAAAATACCTTAAAATAATTGCACTTGAGTAAGGGCGCCGCAACTATTACGACTAGACGCACCAACTTCGCGGAAATATGAAATTTTGTATTTCATACTCTACAACTTTTTTAATAGGTTCAAATCATATTCAATGCAAAAAACAAGACATTTGCAAGAACACTATTTATTTGACGTTGGACCTTGAATAACTTACGACGTCGACACGAGATTATTAATTTGACCCAAGTTATCATCGTCATCAAAAATGTCACTTGGAGGCCGTTAGGTTTAAATGACATTCAATGCAATGAACACTATATTTGCAAAAAACCTATTTTTGTCACGTTGCACCTTAGGACATCGACACGAGATTATGACTCTTTTACCCATGTCATAGAACATCAAACCAAAATTCCATGCAAATGTTTAACCTACGATCCTTCATTCTTAAGTTTGCACTTTTGTCGCCTTAACTGATTGTTCCACATTCTCGTTTAAATAATAATAGTTCAGAAATTTGTTCTGCGAATTTTCGCTTCATCATGTGTCTTACAAAGCATCGCGAAATTTGGCTAGCCCATATTAACGAGAAGTCCCTACGAAGATAACCACTTCAGTTCCGGAAGTACAAAATCATATTTTCGATGAACTCACCCAAAATCTCAATAAAATCGATTTGTGCCTGGAAAACTAATCGTCGTTTTCCTCTTCGTCAAATGAAAGGAGTGGCTTGTTCTTTCGTTTTCCCTTGGAACCCTTCTTAGATTTGCTGGGTTCTTTACTATTACAACCACCTTCGGAATCTTTTGATTTCGATTTTGAAGGCGCTTTAAA